AGAAGCTAGCTTTATTACACTGAGAGAATGCATTCTAAAACATAAGGAGATAATAAGGTAAGACATACGTAATAGGATGCGATAATAGATTAGTGGACTAATTTTTTTTTCATTCCTTCAGATAGAATCATTACTCAAATACCTTTCAATATCAATTTTGTTGAATTTTTCGGTCGATTTCAAGATGCTTAAATCATAAATAATGCCACGGTAGTTTTCAAACGGTAGAAATTTACTGCGTGTAAAAACTGACGTCACGATTTTGTAAGTAGGGGCAGAGCACAGTTGCCATATTTCGAAATACGATTGGGAACTTCACAGATTTAGTATTTAGTAATAATTCATAAATTCTCAATTATGTACTGATAATATTCTTGATCATCAATAAAAAATAAATCGTCTCGTCTCATGTGATGTGGCTTATTGCTTAAAATACATTTGTGTAAATAATAAATGATATAATTCACACTACAGGACATTTGAGCCGGTGAACGTGACAATACGGCGCACGAATTGTGGGCGGTGCCTTGTCAGTACTCAGCATTCAGCAGATTGTTGCCAAGTCTTCAACATTTACATGACATTTTGTTTTGAAGTATAAGAAATATTTGGACATGCTGGTTGCTCAAAAAACTCAAGAATGAACTATGATGTCATGGCTTCCTCCTATTACGTTTTATCTCGTGTTTCATTCAACTACAGGAGTGACAAGACTCTTTTTATCTTTTTGATAACTTGATCATAATTGGTAACTTGCTTCATGAGTGGCAATGAAAGATTATCAGACCAATAACGAAAAACCATAAGAACTGATATCACCATTCATTCGACGTACGTATCGCCAAATGGCAGCCATGACGTGACGTTTGAAATAGCTCTGAAATTCAACAATTTTGAACAGAACGTGAAAAGTGTTGCAAAAATTAATTTAGGTCCCTAACGACACAGTAGAGTAATTAAATGCCAATAATTCATTATCAGTCGCCCATTGGAGAAAATCTAGGTTCAATTAAACTCAGAATAGGATATACAGGGTGATTTACGTAGGCCCCATATTCGAACTTTTCTAACTTGCAGTTTGATTATAAACTTGTAAATTGGCGTGCTGTTCCGATCGATAATTTCCAATTTACCTGAAATATTTCAAGTCCTCCAGCTATACAGGGTGTGTCAAAAGTCGGCACCAACTTTCTTGAAATGGAAACCTTTATTTATTTTCACAGGGTTCGATTGGCCTTATTTATGTTAATTTATCTATCACAGTTTTCGAGATATCTCAATTTTTCTGAAAATAATCAAAGCCGTAGTAGTTTACGAAATCATTTGTATTTCGCGAACTGTTCAAAATTAGAGCACCAACTTTGTGGAACAGTTAGCTCGAAGTCCAGGGTAACTCCTGGTGTCCTATCGATGTATTTTGTACCATAATAATAGGTGCGGGCGATTTCCAAATGTCGCATTGAAAAATTGGCGAAAACAACTGTTTCAAATGGCATCTACTATTTTTTTGACACCATATGATAGGAAATTGGATTCTAGGATGAGTTACTTCAGCATCTCTATACCTATCTCGATCCTCGATCGAGTTATTCAATAAAAATCAAGAAATGGCGTATCTTGCCGAGAGATCTCTTGCTTTGTCACGTATCTATGCCAAACCCTAATAACACAATAACATCTGTAAGACGTCGTAGAAACATGCCCATCCTTAAACATGCATATGGGATAATAGGAACATCTCTGGAACATCCCTATTTTCTTTGGGACATTCTTGGGATGTTGCTTGGAACACCCTTGTCAGCATTAATTTGCGATGTCATATAAATATCCCATCAGAATGTTTGTGGAATGTCCCAGAGAACTTCAGGGTACTTGATATGAAACATCTTCAGGAAACTTTTAGGATATTTTTTGTTTAATGACAGTGATGACCTGATGGATCACACGGTATAACGTGGGTATAACATCAAATGAATTATTTTTAATCTGGAATTCTGGAAATGGCCAACTTATTCCGAGTTATAAGGTAATAAATACGAATGTTATAATATCCGAATATACAGGGTGTTTCAAAAAAACCTAACCCCCTTGCTAGGGTAGGTAGAACATTGCAAAATAAGTTGGGTCTGCTCTGTAAGAAAATGTCGTAACGCCATCCGTTTTCAAGATACAAGGTGTTGAAACAATATTTTTTACACATTTTTCACGATTATGTTGAAACTATAACCGGCACCATTGTGATGAAATTTCGTATGGATATTTCTTGGAATCTGACACATCGCATGCATTCGTTTTTATATCTGACTTTCATAGAGGGCGCTAGTTACACGGTTCGTACCGAGTAGTTTTGAACATAACTTTTTTGAGGTTATATTTTTCAATCCAAATTTGATGTGAACTTGAACATCATTCAATTTCACACCAAAAAGGTACTCTTGGTTAAACTCGATTTGAAAATGATAAAGTGGTAACTGTTGCTGGTATAAAGCTATGTATTAGAGTGAGTATTATTGAAAATTATCACTTATTTTGCAATGTTCTACCTACCCTAGCAAGGGGGATAGGTTTTTTTGAAACACCCTTTATAAGGTCAGTGCGGTCCAATAACTAATGGACGATGAACAGTTGTTTGAAGCTTATATTTGTTGGCGCTGGACCGACAGCTGTTAACAACTAGTAGCAACGTAGTTGTACCGCCATCTATCGGTTGATAACAAATAGATTCAGCAATAAATATGCTGAAGAGATATATATTTCAATTTTATCGTTCATTATATGGTTCAATGAAGTTAAATAGGTACTTATACCTGGCAATCTCATTGTAAATATTTATTATCAATATTTTGATTTGTTATCGATTAAATTAGCCTTCTGTGGTATAGGTAAGTATATGAGTACGGGTACACAATTTTGATTTGCATATTCTACCATTCGATGTTTCAAATGTCACAATCTTTTTTGAACTGTTCAATCATGTCAATCATCATTAGCAATATAGGTCATAAGTCTTTGGAAGAAGTCCATGGTAACTCAAAGTGGAGTGGTGTAGTTCATAGATGAAAACCCGAAGTCATCTCCACAACTTTTATTAGAGTGATCAAAGATCAATCTTGAAGAAACCTGTTTCGGGCTCATATAAGTCCATCATCAGCCAATAGAAATTATTATAGTTCTAGAAAAATCGGTGTAATCCTAAGTAAACACCGATTTTTCTTGAACTGTGATAATTTCTATTGGCTGATGAGAAACATGTTCCTTCAAGATTGACCTTTGATCACTCTAATGAAAGTTGTGGAGATGACTTTGGGTTTTCATCTATGGATAGGTACTGAGCAAATATACATTTGTTTATAGAAAAAAGACCAAATGGAATTCTCATAAGTCTGAAACATTGGGACATTCGTAGGACCTTAGAGGGGTATACCAGCAAGATCCCGTGTTGTTAGGGCAGATGACCCAAAAACTCAACTGCGAAAGATTTGACGCCGCCTTTGTGTTTGATGTTCGATGGCTCAAAATTGTATAACACCACCGTATAAACAGAGAAAAATGTATCGTTGATTTCTTGATTTTTATTGAATATCTTGATGGAGTTTTGAGTTAGGTATAGGGGTTGCTTGAGTAACTAATCCTCAAATTTTATTTTCTTTCATATTGTCAAGTAGGGCAAACGCCCATTTAATATCATCACTCTAACTCCATCTCGTTCATTTCAAGATCTCCAATCATAAATTAACCTTTTGAAATTAAAACATCCAGTACAGTGTAGTTTCGTTCATGTCAGCGGATTTCATAGATTTGAGTTCCTTGAAAACTTACAAAAACGCTTACCGTGCGAAACTACCTAGGTAAGCAATACCGCCAGGTAGCGGTCATTCCCATTGCGGAAAATTGTAAACCAAGCATTGATTTCCAATATGAATAAAGCAGTCATTTTGGAATGGATTCATTCACAGAAAACCAAATTCAGTTACATGCATTTTGTAGAGAATATCTCTATCTCTAGTACATTATCTCTGATATTTTGCACGTGGAGAAAGATGATTCCAAGATATCCTTTGCGGAAAACAGCATATGTACCTACTATACTAACTTTTTAACATGTCCAAAACTACCAGTTCAGATTTTCCTAGTTTTTTCTGTAGGAACAACAGTTTTGGGAAAAATTTACAGAATCTGGGGGAAACACAAGTTTTGCGCCCCCACCATTGGTCGGATCTCTCCATATCTTCATTGCACTCCATTGAAGAATTATTTTATATATTATGAATCTGATTTCCAAAAAATGCTAATTTGCGTGAACTATATCGATAGTTGGGTAATTTCGGTGTCACTTAGTAGATATATGGTAAAGAGTGACAAGAACTTAGGATACCATTAAAGTTTATGGAAAATATTGAAAATAAAAACTGGGATAGCAGAATAGGGAATTTAGGACTTTGAATTTAAAATATAGTTTCTTCAAAACAACGACCGCTGATTGCTAGCATTCTGAGAATTGATTTCTGCCGCTATAGTAGTTTACCTAACAAGTGCGGAAGGTGATGCTTTTCCGCACTTGATTGCAAATGGCCGAAAGACGCTTAGCGGAGTTCGGCCAGCAATTGCGTGCAGAAAAGTCACTACGCACTTGTTGGGTACACAATGTTTTCTAATAGCGAGCGGAATAAACCCAAAATGTAACATAAAGAAGCATTTATCTTTATTGAATATCAAATGTCAGTATTATCCCCAGAAACGAGTTTACTTTACCGGACTAGTGCGGAAAAGTATACTCATCCGCACGCTATAAGAACAAAATATTATTGGAGGTTGTATATTTCTCACATTGCTTGCGAAAAACTTAACTGTTCCACACAATTGTGGAAAAACTATATCTCACCTCATTTTAGTACTTCTATCAATATTTCCATTATAACTCATATTCTTGAAAGGTTTCAGTATTAGGTGAACTAAAAAGTAATATAGAAACTGAAAACTGTTTATAGGTATGTCCAAGACTTCAATATAGAAATGAGAAATATAATGGTGTTAGATTTCCTACAGAGTTCTATTCAGTTAGCATCAATAGTAATTCAATTATTTGTAGTGAGTAATTATATAATATTTCGATTTGGGCATCGCATTTTATTCACTGACTTGCTTGTTTCAGACGGAAATGAATTTACCAAATGTAATATTTTCTGGCCAATTCGCTTTCAGTATGTTGATACGTCTACTTTTATATTATTGGTATGGCAATGAAATAACTCTCCAGGTGAGCATACTTCTTGATTCCAACCAAACCTGTGGACCAAACTCACCTACTTCCTTATTCCCACCTACATGATCAACTTCTCGACTTAAACAGGTACATAATAGAACCTGACGATGATTGTTTAATAGGATATCGAAGCAAATTGTGGTAATTTCAGTTATTCGATTGGGAAAAATCAAAACATTCCATCTTTACCTACCTATCCATGAATGCATAAGTAGTAGGAGTACAGGGGTTCTGGCGCAAGCCGATCAGAGGCCAGCATTCAGTTTGAGGTCACATCCAGTAATCCAATCAGAGACCGGCGCGTAATTAAAATTGCCCATGCGACGTCACGTCATCATCATGAATGAATTGAAAAAAACTATCACCGCTGGGGAATTGAATCGGAGACCTTGGCATTATGAGGCAGCGTATATACGCACCATGGTATTGAAGCCTCCGTAATAATTCGATAATTTTAATGCTATTCACACAAGATGTTCTAATCAGACGTTGGAAATTATTATTAAGTCGACGTTGCTAGCGAGCAGAGCGAGAGACTCGTTCTAGAGGTGAAACATTATCTCATTACAACGAAATAAAGTTATGGTGAAATATTTCTATGTTGGTATTATCGACAATATATGGAGCTTCCGTTGATAAGAATCGCATAATAGGAAACGTCCGAGCTTATCGAAACCTTAAAAAACCCAACTAACCGTATGCACAGGGAATACGACTACGTTATCAAAACCGCCGAGCAAAATACGTTACCAGAACAGAAAACTTGAAATTATTATCAAAACCACAAAAAAGCACTAATTGCATTCATAGGAAATACGACATTTATTATTGTCAACGACCGATTTTAACAGACTTTTTCAGAACATCCGCGTCTCTAATCGAAAAGTCACGTGGTCTCTCCGCCAGTGTATAAAAGCGGTGACTCGCAACATCATTCACACTCTCCCTTCGAGTCTTCATTAATGAACGTCGACTCTTGACCAGCTCCAACTGAATCTTTTATGACACAGTTTGTGTATGTGTGTGTGTGTGTGTGCAACATTATCAATAATAGCAAGTACCTCTTTTTTATCAAAGTGCTCATTTCTATTCACAGTCTTATATTATCTGCCTTTTCCATTTCATCCTGGGTTTTATTGGAAATAATTAAACATGGTGCTCATTTTTTCTCAAATTCTAATTATCATCCTTTTTTCATTTTATTTCGAGTTTTTCCGAAATAATTCTACCGAGTGTTGGTGATTAATCCCAAACTATTTTTATTTCAAGTTCTATTGTGAATAATTCATCCAAGTACCAAGTTCATCATGACTTTGTTGGAATGTTCATGTTTTTTCCCTTTTTCTCCATCAGATGAATCTAACTCAACTCAACGCAGCTTCGCTAATTCTTGAGAAGCAGAAACCCAGCGAAAAGTTAGTGGGTCTTCCACTTGGGCAACCACACAAAATTCAGGCAGCAATAGTGGCCCCAAAAAAATTTGGCAAATCTGTTCTGATTGAGTTGGAGAACTATGTTGTGTTCCTGTCCAGCCGTGTCACCGAGTTCTATTCGCCCCACACTTAGCAATTGAGCACCGAAAATTATTCAGAGGGAAGGTGCAGACTGGAAAGGCACATCTGGCAGCTTCATTTGGAATTTTGAAAAATTAAAGTGAGTTACATTAATGTTTTTGGGTAGCATATCATCCATAACTGACCAAAATCATCATACATTGAATCACCAGAGCAGAGAAACATGCTTGCATCAATGTCCAACATGATGATAAGGCCTGCTTCTTTGTCATAGTCAGTGTAGTGTAAGGCCAGGCGAAAAAGAAGAAACAGAAAAATGAGAAGAAGTAGAACAAGAATGACAGGAGACAAGACATATAAGTTAGCGCTTAATAATTAAGTTAACTTGTCGACAGTATATAAATAAAACATTATAAACCTGTTTCTCAAATAGTCATTTATTATTAACAAATATACCACAGATTGGCGACGAGGAAAAAGGATTAACGCACACAAAATGAGTGAACAAGTAGAACAGCTTATACAAGCATTAACACAACTAGTAACTACTATGCATTCCCAACCAAACACAAGTGAGAATGCAACATCATCAAACATTAGAAGCCTACTTCAAAAACAAAATATCAGATTTGATGAATTCGACGAGACAAATGAGTCTTTCGACCTGTACTGCCAGAGACTGGAAAACTTTTATGAGCTGAAAGGATTGGACACCAATGATGAAGAAAGTGAAAAAGCAAGGGCTATTATTCTACTGAATACTTTAGGAGCAAAACATTACAAATTGTTAGCCAGTTTAACAGCACCTGATAAACCCAACACAAAAACATTCAGTGAATTAATAACATTATTGAAAGGACATTTAATACCTAGGAAAAATGTATTGACAGAACAACATTGTTTCCTCTCGAGAGTTCAGTCAGTATCAGAGAATATTTCAACTTATTTAGCATCCTTAAGAGACTTGGCAAAGAGTTGTGAATTCAAAGGAAGTTGTGCAACAGGACTGTGTGAAAAAGCAGTGCTTGAACTCTTATTGCGTGCACAATTCATCAGAGGACTATCTGATAAAGAAATGCGTGAGAGAATCCTAGAACAGGCTAATATATCATTAGAACAAGCTGTAAACACAGCCCTATCAATAGAAGCATCCAAAATACAAAACAGAGATGTGTATACAAATTCCACAATGCAAACACACCAAATGAACAAAGTAAGTCATTATAGAGACAGCTCCACATCTGGAACAGCCACCACTTCAACTACTAACACTCAGCGGAAAGGCAACAAATATCTAGATCTAAAGGCATTGGGGTTGGAAGGAGTTTGCCTTGCATGTGGGAAAAATAATCATCTCACACGAGAATGTAAATCAAAGGAGCATCTCAGATGTAGTGACTGTAAAAAAAAAGGGCACATAAAAAAAGTTTGCCTATCAACTCTGTTGAAGAACAACAATCAGATTAAACAAATATTACATGAGAATGATGATGACAGCAGTACAGAAGAAGACCAAACATTGAATCTTGTGGATATATCCCTGGGGACACAGGAAACTGAAAATACACTTATTGAGTTGCACTCTGTTGACAGCAGCAAATTTTACATAACAGTTATGATAAATAACATGCCACAAAAATTTGAAGTTGATTCAGGCAGTCCTGTTACGTTGATCTCCAAAGAACAGTTTGGAAAACTAGGACAATTCAAAAAATTAAATGAAACACCAATAAGGTTCAAGTCTTACACAGGAGACATTTTTCATCCACTTGGGGAAACCGAGGTAACTGTCACATATGGAAGGAAACATATCACCGAGAAGTTGTACGTTACTAAAGAAAATTACGCCCCCATATTAGGGCGTTCATGGATGAGGAAGCTTCAAATTGATTTAAGTTCTCTGGAAAAACCAAATGAAGAACCATCAGTAGATCTTCAAAACGTAGAACTCATTATTGATGATATATTCTCCAAATATGCAATTGTTTTCGAACCACAGGTAGGCAAAATTAAAAATTATGAATGTTCTCTCAAACTTCATGATAATGCTAATCCTGTCTACCTGAAACCACGACCTATTCCATATGCCCTCCTACCAAAGGTAAATGAGGAACTTGACAAGTTAGAAGAACAAGATATCATCACACGTATCAATCAGTCTGAATGGGGCACACCTTTAGTATGTATCTCTAAGCCAGATGGAGGAATCAGGCTATGTGCAGATTACAAAGTATCAGTAAACCCTCAATTACATGACACCAGGTACCCAATACCACGAATAGAAGATATATTCAGCAAAATGAAAAATGGCAACTATTTTTGTACCTTGGACTTATATAAAGCATATCTTCACATACCAGTTGATGAGGAAAGTTCGAAAATATCAGCCATCTCCACACATAGAGGTACTTATCTAGTAAAAAGATTATTTTTTGGATTGAAAACAGCTCCCAATGAGTTCCATCGCATTTTTGATCAGCTAATCAATGATTTAGAGGGGGTAATCACTTATTTCGATGACATTGTAGTACAAGGAGCTACAATAACTGAATGTAGACAACGTCTAGAGAAATGCCTACAACGCTTACAAGAAAATAACATCCATTTGAATAAAAAAAAGTGTCGTTTTTTCTCCAGAAAAATAACTTATTTGGGACATGTCATCTCAGAAAAAGGACTTCAGAAATCCAAGGACAAGGTGGAAGCTGTCTTGAAGGCAGAGAGACCAAAAGATATAGACAATGTGCGTTCATTTCTTGGTCTAGCCAACTACTATGTCAAGTTTATACCAGAGGCTGCTCGACTTATGTACCCCTTGAATTGTTTGTTACGAAAAGACACCCCATTTCGATGGACAGCCGAATGTGAAGCCTCTTTTTCGAAAATTAAGCAAGAAATTGCCAGTGAACAAACACTGACACCATTTGATCCTTCGAAGCCTTTGATATTAGCCACAGATGCAAGTCCCTATGGACTTTCAGCAGTCATGTCACATATCATACATGGAGAGGAAAGACCTATTACTTTTATATCCAGAGCACTCACTACCGCTGAGAGAAATTACAGTCAGTTGGATCGTGAAGCCACTGCAATCTATTGGAGTTTCAAGAAACTATATCAGTTCCTTTATGGAAGACATTTCACCTTGATTGTAGATAATAAACCACTAGAAAGCATATTTTCACCAAATAAGGCACTACCTGTTTTATCTGCAACTCGACTGTTGAGATATGCACAATTTCTCAGTGGATTTGATTACGAAATACAACATCGTTCTTCGAAATTACATGGGAATGTGGATTACCTATCAAGAAAACCCTTGCCACTCAAACAAGTTCAGGTAAAATTCCAGTCGGATGATTATAAAACCAATGAAAATCTCATAGCATCATTGACTTTATATGATCCCATCACAGTCGAACAAATTCGAAAAGCAACAAACAATGATGAACATTTGGCTTTATTCAAACACAAACTCTT